TTCGAGTCCCCGTCTTGGGAGCTGCGGCCGCGGGGCTCCGGCCTTCTGTTCCCTTTGCTGTACGGCGGCTTTCACGGTCAGCCTTCATCGAACGCGCATTTTAAGGCTCCGGACCCAGGGCGGCGTGGGCGAGGCCCAGCACACTTCCCTGTCCGAAGGTGTGTCTGGGCGGTGCTTCAGCAAGCGCAGGGTGGCCCCTCGAGGAGCCCCACTGCTTCCCGGAAGGGCCGGCGTTCCACCTGGCCTCCTTCATTGACAGAAGGGACTGAGGGTCTGAGTGGAGAAGGCACCTGCTTGTGATTGAAGCCCGGGCAGAGTCCTGCACTTCCTGCAGTAGCAAAGTGACCTTGAGCCTGGCTTGTGCCCACGCCTTTTTCTGTCCCAGGGTGTCCCTGACTTCAGAACCTGCGAGCCGGCGCCACCGAGATGCTCAGGGCCCGCCTCTGGAGCCCGGGAGCCTGTCTGCGGTCTGGAGGGGAACCCACTGTATCTTTGTGGAGGGACTCAGGGCCTTGCACCCACCTGTGTGCCACCTGCCCGCTCTGTCCAGCTTTCTTTCGTGGGTTTACTTATCATTAAAGAGGGACAGTGATTTCAGCCTCAGGGTGTTGTCAGGATGAAACTGGCTCAGTGAGGGGATCGGGCTATGGCTGGAGGCCAGACACATGCAGTGGTCAGCTTGCAAATGCACTGCAGTACCCCCGCACCTGCCGGCATGCGCCCAGCCTCTCCTGTGCTGGGTGCTGGGGAACCGGTGGGACCGACAGGCACAGCGCTGGCCCTAGGAGCACCTGGTGTGTGGGGAGGCAGCATGATGGTCAACAAGACAGTGGGTGAGTGGGCAAGACAGGGTCTTCATCACCACCCCTAGCATGGGCCCCTGCCCTTCAGGCCCCTCCCTGCCTCCCACCTGCCCTGCTCCCTCCTGTGGGCCTTCACAGGCCACCACTGGGGCTCACGCAGCACACAGCACCTCCGCTTCCTTTCCCTCTGCCCTTCCAAGTTGGCCTCCAAGGCCTATGCCAGGCCTAGGGGAAGGTGGACAGCTGTCCTGTCCGGGAGAATGTGGGGCTGGGTGGCACGGCAGAGGGGCGGCTGCGGATTGTGGATCCACAGAATGGGCTGCTGACTGTATGTGCCTGGGGGGTCCCGTGAGCGGGCAGTGAGTGCGACCAACAGTGTAAGGTGCTGAGGCTGGGGCAGGCACACAGTGGGCCCTCCATCCCTGCTGGCTGTCACCAGGAGGAGGGGCCTGACAGCAGTGGGTGGGCCATACACCAGCGGCTTGCAGAGAATCTGGTGTCAGATGAGAACAGAAAGGGGCAAGTGAGGGTGGAGGTCAGGAGGCAGGAGGCAGCTGTCCACGCTGGCTGCAGCGCCAGGCCCTGGCGATTGGCTGTGCTGAACTTTGAGGGACCAGAAGGAATGCTGAGGCAGGAAAGGGGTCTCTTCCTGGGTCTGCTGAACCCCCTTGCTAGGCTCCCACTGCCAGGCTTCTCCCCTCCCCAGGGTGGCGATGGGTGGCCAGAAGCCGACCTGGCCTGCAGGTGGTGCGTAGGGAACACACGGCTTTTGTTTCATGTGATTCTGGAGAAATTAAAGCAACCTTTAACACACCTGGGCTTCCCTCTTGGTAATTCAGTCCCTCTGGCCTCTCAGGCCAACAGGCAGACAAGCCACAGGCTGCAGGTGGGAGGCAGTGCCCCTGAGCCAGGCCCGCACTCCAGTGTGGCCCAGGCTTCACCCAGCCCAGTTGTTGGCCTGTGTCCTGCCATCCCTGTGCCCGGTGGTTTTAAACGCCCGGCTCACCTTGGTGCTGTGGCTGCAGAGGGTCCTGCTGATGAGTTTCACTCCTGATTTTCCTTGGCTCTCAGCCTGAACTCTGAGCAGGTGTCAAGCGCGGTGCTCTGTCTGGATGTCCCCGACTGCAGGCCTGGCCCTCGGGCTGACTTCCTAGTTTCCCCCTTGACCTGACACCCCTCCATGGCCCCCACCTTTCCTTTCTGCCTGATCCTTGTCCATTTTTCTAGAGTTGGGGTTTCAGCAAACTTCCCAGAACATCCTAGCTCCTTGCCTACTCAGCACACTCCTGTTCATGCCTCAGAACCCATATTCGGGTTGCAGATGCTACCTGCCTTGACCTCCCAGGGACACCTGCTCTCCTCCCCGTCCCCCAACACTGGCCATGACTTGGTGCCATTGCTCCTTTGCCCACCACTCCCTGATGCCCAGCGGAGGTGTCAGTGCCCATTGTCTCTGCCCTGGAAAGGGCAACTCTCAAACTTCACATTTAGGAGAATTATCCCTGGGAGCTTCTTAAAACACAGACTCCAGGCCCACCGCCAAGGTCCTGGTTCAGTGGATCCGGGGTTGGGCCCAGGAATCTGTTTCTGAAGCTCCTCAGATGGGAGGGACTGATACCCATCCTCCCTGGAGGAGCAGACAGCCCTGAGTGCTCCCGGTGGAGTCCTGGCGAGCTGCCCTGTGGCTACCAGGCCAGGGACTAGTGAGGAAGGGCAGGTGCACACACCCGCTGCTGTTGCCAGGCACTTCCCTGAGGGCGCCGTGGTCCCTTCCCGCTGCGGACTCTGCAGAGGAGCTGGTTTCATTCTGCCCTCCCGCAAGGGGGTGACCTCCCAGTCCCTGGCACAGTCAGGGGTGTCCTGGGGCCCGGGCGGGTGGAGGCCCAGATGAACTCGGCCCTGCCGGACACACGCATGATTCTTCAGGTGTTTATTCTCCATCACTCAGGGGACCCCGTCTGCGAGGGTGCTGCTGCCCACCGCCTCCCTCCACCCTCACTGCCAGACATCTGTTTGCCAGGAGCCCACGAGGGGGCGTCCAAGACTGTGCTCGGAGCTTGGTGGGCAGGGGTGCGGGTCCGAGTGGTCCGTTGCCTCCCAGACCATGGGCACTGCGTGGGAAGGGCTGCAGTGCACAGCAGTGGTGGGGCTGGGCTGGAGCCTGAGTGATCCTGCCTCCAGTCCCCACACCCCCCAGGGAGCAGGTGCTGGGCTGTGGGAGGGGCCACAGAGCATTTCCCAGGTGGGTGGAGACAGGGTGAATCGCCAGCCTGAGACCCCTCTTGGTCCTTCAGCCCTTCTTGAAGTGGGCCAGGATGTGCCCACCACTGGCTGTGCGGGGCTGCCTGCTGGTTGGGTGGTGTGGCCTCTCCAGGCCCTGGTGGGCAGGTGGAGGGCCGCCCTGGGCTCACTGTGGGTTCGGTGCAGACTGGGTAGGTCTCCTCCCAGGGGCTGTGCGGGGCTGCCTGCTGGTTGGGTGGTGTGCCCTCTCCAGGCCCTGGTGGGCAGGTGGAGGGCCGCCCCGGGCTTGCTGTGGACCCTGGTGCAGGCTGGCTAGGTCTCCTCCCAGGGGCTGCTGTTGGGGGAGGGACTGTCGTCCTTGGTGTCCCTTGGGCTCCTGGGGCCCTCAGTGGCTGTCAGCTTCTTTCTCCCTCTGGATGGCTTTTTGGAGGCTATGGGAAGTGGTTGGAGGTCAGGCCAGAGCTGCGTGCCTTCCTTTGAGGCAACACTGGCTCTCACCTAGGGCCTCCTGGGTCTCCTCTGGGCGTGGGGAGCTGGGTGCTTGGGGAAGTTTACTGGCCACCCTTGTTCCTACAGAAACCAGTGCCCAGAGCAGGAGTAGCCTGATCTGAGGGTGAACCCTGAGAACTGGGTGGAGGGTGGACACTCTCCCCATTGTGTGACCCCGAAGATGGCGCTGACCCCAGTGGCCCCCTTGCTACCTTGGAGGGAGCCAGGCCATAGTGGCTGGCCTGAAACTGGCTGCGGGCCTCAGGGGTCCTGCCCCCGGGCTGGGGCCACAGGGGAGGGGCGCCTGGTCCCCGAGACGGTCCGGGGATGGGGATCCTGCCGAGATGCTGGGCTCAGGCCGTCTCTGGGGCACAGTGAGCTCAGGCTCTGAGGTAAATGGGTCACGTTTGGATCCTGACCCAGCTCCCAGACCTGTGACCTTGGGCAAGTGACCTCTCCCCTCTCAGCCTCCATTTCTGCACCAGCCAAACCGTGATGATCCCACCTGCTGGGCAGGGTCGTGAGGCTCACAGGCAGCCACAGCTGCACCCCCTCTCCCGGGGCGCCAGGCACGAGGGCACTGGCTTTGGCGCTGAGCTGTGCCCATGCTGGGCAGGGACCTGCTCTCACTGACCGCCATGTCTGTTTCTCAGGAACCCCTGCCAGCGTCCCTGGCCCCGGCTCAGCTAGGAGCACAAGGGGGTGCTGGCTCACAGACTGCACCCCCGGGGCCATGTCCACCCACTCAGCAGAAAGTGCCTCGAATAAGGGCCGTGCTCGTCTTCACTGCCGCCCTGGGCAGATGCAGGCCGCGGCCGCCTGCCAGCAACAGTGGCACGTAGTGGCAGCGCCACCCTGCCCGCTGCCTGTGGGCCCTGCCCGCTGCCTGTGAGCCCTGCCTGCTGCCTGTGGGCCCTGCCCGGACAAACACCAGGGCCGTATGATCAGGTGTTCAAAGTCTCTCATGGGCTCCTGGACCCCAGCTGGAGCTGCCATTGAGCCCAGAGCAGGAAGTGAAAAGTTGTCCTGATACCCTCGGACCAGGGCCGAGGCTCCTGGCAGCCTTGCTAGGAGGAGCTGGGCCCAAGGACACTGCCCTTGGCAAACACTGGAGAGCCATCCGCAGTTCCCCAGGGGAGCAAATGTGCCCCATGTCCCTTGGAGCTGTGCCCTCTGCGCTGCCCCTATCTGCAGGTGGACAAGAGCGATCTGCTCCTCATGTCAGTGGCTTATCCTGTGCACCAGGATGCCCTTCCTCCCAGGACGATGGTGGGGACAATGACCATCCCCTGGCTCCTTCTCGCCCTGAAATCTCCTACGATCCCTAATGTCAGCCCCCTTACGGGCGAGGATACTGGGGCTCAGATTTGGAAGGACCTGACACTAGGCTACACAGTCAGAGGCTACACAGGAAGGACTCACTCTGGCTACCCCTGCCCTTCTCTGTGGGGTTCATTTGGGGAGGGTTGAGGTTCATTTTTGGCTCCATCATTCTGAGGCTACCATTCTCCAGGCAGCCAGGAGGGGAGGTGGCACTGAGGAGAGGTGGGTGCTGTGGCTACCCTCGCCCCGCCTCTCTGCACCTGCCCCATGCTGGCTGTACCTTTGTCTCCGGGCTCCGAGGCCTGCTTCCTCTTCCGTGGCAGACCCTGCCCGTGCTCCTGGGCGCAGATACACCCGGGCCCCTCCCCAGTCGTGCTCTGGTCCGCCTGGGGAGAAGGGGGTGTGGTCAGGAGGAGGAGCACCTCCCGGCCTGGCCCTGCGGAGTATGTGGCCTGGACCCACCTCGCTGCCTGGGGTGTCTGTCTCATCCAGTTCGTCGGACTCTGGTCTCAGCACTTCAGCCTTGCTGGGCTCTGAAGGAAGCAGGGTGTAGGATCAGGCCAGGCTGGTGGCCCCAGGAGTCTCCCAAGCCTGCCAGACTAGGATGGGTGGAGACAACTCTGCAGATGGGGAAACTGAGGCACAGAAGGCCAAGGGACCTGCCCCAGGGCACCTGCTGACAGGAGGCAGACTGGAGTTTGGGCTCAGGCCCAGTGTCCACATCAGCTGGGGTGCCTGCCCCTGGCTTGGATGCCGTGTGATGGGGTACTCAGCCTGCTTGCCAACCCTAATTGCTAAGGTGCTTTTCCCCCTCACTGAGTGTGGTTGGAGAGGCTCCTGCCGGGCCCTCAGCTTCCTCCAGTGGCTGCAGGTGGAAGAGCCAAGCCCTGGAGCCTGGAGTTGCCCTGTCAGGTCGGCAGGGCAGAGCTGGGCCTGGAGACACCTCTTCCCGGTGGTCACTGACCACCACCCTCTCTCCCCATGGGGAAAACCCCTCCCAGCTGGACTCTGACCCCAGGTGCTCACTGTACCTGAGTGGCCGTCCAGGTCAGGCGGCTGTGGGTGGGGAGGCAGCTGTGGGTGGGGAGGTGGCAGAGGCCTCCCTGTGTCTTCATCTCCTGTCCTGCCTGGAGAGGACAGGCTGAGCTGGGACCCTGGAAGTGGGCGTGAGGGGTCCTGGGGGGAGGCAAGCAGGTGGCTGGAGTTTATTTGGGAGACTTCCCTGCCCCCAGCTCAGCCCTGGATGGCCGGTGGGACCCCTCTTGAGGCTGCAGCTGGTGGGGGGACCCGCCTTTCCCTTTCTAGCGTGGATGAGGCAGCCTTGCTTTCTCCCTGGGAACCAACTTGGTGGGCAGAGGGAAGAGAGCAGCCCGAGGTCCGGCTGGAGGCTGGCCCGGGATGGGGGATGTGGAGGCTGAGGACAGGGTCTGAGCCAGGGCCGGGCTCCTCACCACGGGAGTGCGAGCCTCCTCCTGCTCTGGTGCTCTGGTCCCCTTGGTGCCATTGCTGAGTGCCTGGGGACTGCGAGTCAGGGGTCCAGACTGGGTGGGTGGCTCGGGGCTGGGAGTGTGGGCAGTGGCAGGGCTGAGTGACCCATGCTGGCTGGCCGGCTTGGGAGTGTCCTGGCCCCGGCCCCGGCCCCACTCCGAGAGGTCCAGGGGCTTGTCTGGGGCACAGTCCTTCGCTGCTGCAGCCTCCGTCCTCTGGGCGTGGCCTGGGCCTACAGGCTGTGTGTGCCGCCCTCCAGGCAGGCCTGCTGCTGTGGCCAGAGCTGCCCTGGCCCCCTCACTCTCAGGGCCCTCAGAGTCTGAGCCGACTGGTGGGGAGGGCGGCATCTCCCTGGGTGTGGGCTGGCCCCTTGGCCTGACACTGCCTACCCTGGCCCGAGCCCGCAGCTGCTGCTGGGCCAGGAGCAGGTGTAGTGCCCCCTCCAGGCGAAGGTCCTGCATGCCCGCCAGGGCATTGGGCAGCCCCAGCAGTTCTATAGGCTCCTCCCAGGCCTCTGCTTCTCCGGCCTTCAGGTCCTGGAGCCGGGGGTCACGGGGGGCTGCAGCAGGGGCCAGGGGGCTGCTGCGGGGGCTCCGAAGGTGCAGGGAGAGGGGGCGGTTTAGGAGGCAGAGCCGATCCATCTTCGGGGAGTGCTTCAGGGTCTCATGGGTCATGGCAGAGGGCCGGGAGGCCCGCAGGAAGCTGTGAGGGAGGAGAAGCCCAATGACCATGGCTACGTTGAGCTGTGACCGTCCCAGTGAGCCCTGAGAGGAGGAGACGACAGGCACCCACTCCACAGGTGAGGAAACTGAGGTCCAGAGAGGTGGAGCAAGCTGCATGGGTCCCATGGCAGGCAGTGGAGGGAGGGGAGGCTCAGCCCCCAGGTCTGGAGGCCGTGCTGTGTGGACCTGGCCAGAGGTGGCCTGTGGTCTGGGCTCCAAGGCAGGGCCAGATGCCGAGGCCTCCATGTCTTTTTGGCGGAGACATCAGCCCCCTGCTCCTCACCTGGAGGGTCCTAGCCACCTGCCCACCCTCCACACCCTACTTGTTCTCACACAATGTCCCCGTCCCCTGCCCCCACGCCCCACACCTGGCCACTCCGGAGTTGTCCACCTAGGAACTTTGCTCCAGGCTGGGTGCCCAGAAAAAGTCAAGCCAGAGAAGGTCAGGGGCTGTGAGGGATAATCAGAGGGACTGCCCTGGGACCAGGGTGAGAGAGGAGCTTGTCTGAGGCTGCTCTGGATGGGGGTGGGACAGGCGGGCACCTGTCCAGAGAGAGGCCGCGCTCATACGCTGGGCTGGGTGGGCTGCTCCTGGCAGGCAGTGGTGGGGGCGTCCCATTGGTGGGGCCACGGTCAGCAGGGCAAGCCTGGGACCCAGGCCGTACCACGGCGATGGTCCCGTGCAGCTGGTTGGAGATGCGCTGGGGGCTCTGTGAGGATGGGTGGGTCAGCCTGGGCAGGGGCATGTGTGGCCTCTGCTGTGGCCTCTGCCGCCTGCCCTGGGCTGCTCCCACTCTGCCCCTGCTCACTGCCGGACCCACCCACTCAGGGCTGCGCCCCCACCCACACCAAATGGAGCGCAGTGGCTCCTGCCCAGGACGAAGGAGGGGCACATTCGGGGTGAGGCGCATGAGAGGCTGGCATACTGCAGGTGCAGCTGCCGCCAGCCTCCTGCCTGCGCTGGCCCAGCTGCGCATGGTGGGCTCCAGGTCCCTGCACTTACCATGTCTGGGGCCCACGACTCAGGCAGGGTGGCCCCTGGTGAGATTTTGGCCACTGGAGATGCCCTGTGCCCTGCTGGCTTTTCTGTGGGAGGAGAAGCCAGGGGTGGAAGCTTGGGAGGTGCCCAGAGGGGCGGCGGCTCAGCCCCAGGGGGAGGATCCCTGGTCCTGCAGGGGCCCAGCCTCTCAGCCTCACCCGGTCCCCACAGTACCTTCTCCCTGTAGGCCCGCGCCCTGGTGATCTTCCTCAGCCTCCTCATGGCCTCCTGGTGGCTTCTCTGTGACGGCCTTCCAGCCACCAGGGGAGGGGAGCAGCAGGGGTGAGGGGGGGTCTGAGGTGCCCTCCTTGGCCAGGGGCTTGGGCCTATCTCTGGAGGGGAGGGAAAGGCAGGGAGGGTGAGGGAGAGTAACATCCCAAGAGAGGATCAGAAAAGCCGGGCCCACTCCTGGGTGACCCCAGGGGACGCAGCGGTCCCGACACTGCCTGAGAGCCCCCCATGGGTGGTTCCCCCAGGGACGTGTGCCGAGTACTGCTCAGGGGCTGCTGGGGAATGGAGTGTCTGAGCCCTGGGACTCCTTCTCACTCACCCCAGGCCCCGAAGCCGCTTCACCTCCTCCTTCAAGGTCTCGTTCTCTTCCTTCAGCCCGTTCATCTCGTTGGCTGCAAAAGGCACTGATTAGCAAAGCAGGCAGGGGTTGGGGGGGACAGGGACTGGGGTGGGGTCATCACAGCACCAGGGAAGCCCCTCAGCAGTGCCCCCAGCATGTAGCCCAGGGCCTGGCAGGCAGCAGGTGCGCCGTGGATGCTGCTGCGTGCGTGGCTGATTGGATGCTGCTGAATGAGCCGCGCCGGCCTCGAGGGAAGGGGGCTCGCCCTTGGTCATCAGGAGGGCCACGGGGCCTCAGGACTGCAGGACCTTCCGCATCACAGGAAAAAGGTCACGCCCTGTGGGGGCAGGGATGCCCCCAGCACAGGGGAGGGAGGCTGTGTTGAGGGAGGGCCACACCAGCGCCAGCTGGGGGCTGTGTGTGTGTCTGTAGATTGGGTTGTGAGGTTCCCCCAGTGGTGTGGGGCCGATCGCCCTGCCTCCTTTCCCCACACCCCCACATGGACTGAACAGGCCCTGGGGTCGCCTGGCCCCATGGGAGAGGACCCCGGCTGTCTGGCGGGTGGGGCTCACTGAGGATGAAGATGTGCTGTAGGTTCTGCAGGTGGGAGCTCTGAAACTCCTGCTGCCGCTTCCTGGCCAGCTCCTGGGTGACCAAGCAGCGGTCGCACAGGCCGGCCCGCAGCCTGCAGGGATGGGGACACAGGGAGTCTGAGGGACGGCATGGAAGCCAGAGGGCCTGGGACCCACCACCCCACTGCCCGGAAGTGCCCCTGCCCTTCCCAAACTATTCCGTACAGCCCCAGGCCTCTTCCCACCCCGTGGGCTAGGGGTCCCATGTTTCACTGAGTTTGGGGAGAAATCTTGAAAATGCAGTTTACTTAAGGCTCTGAGATGTCCTGCAGTGGAGAAGCCTTCCTGGTTCAGTTTGTCCTGCACTTTCCCAAACTTGTTCTCCGAGGAGCCCTGTCATCTCCCCCTCCCCTGAGCCCACCGGTCCTGGCCGTGCTGCGAGGTGTCCTCCCAGGCCCACCTGTTTTCCAGCACCCGAAGGTTCTCCTTCAGTGTCTTCTGCTGTTCCCGGAGCTGGTGGTTCTTGGCAAAGAGCTCCTCGATCCTCTGGGCGTCCCTGTGGCGGGAAACAGCTAAGGTGGGGTCCTGTTCCATCCAGGAAGACACACGCTGTCCCCACCATCCAGCCTGGGGGGCCAGTGCCATTTGGCACTTGCAGCCTTGGTCTGGGGCTGGATCCTGCTCAGTGCCCCTCACTGTGGGGACTTGCCCTTGAAGTGGGCCCTGTGGGGCAACGCCTAACCCGGCGCCCCCCCAATCATCTGCACGCCCCTCTGTGACATCTGTCTTGTCCACACACCACTTTAGCGCCATGGTGCAGGCAGAGCCACAGCCAGGTCTATAAGCCCGGAACGCAGGGAGCCTGCCTGCCTGCCAGCGTATGACCAGACACGACCCCAGCTCACCATGATATTCTGATCATGATCCTGGGGTGGGAGACACCCTGAGTAAAGGGCTTGCCCTGCCCCTGGGAGGCCAACGCACCTGGGTTCAAGTCCTGCTCACCATGTGACCTTGGACGAGTGACTCCCCCCTGCCTCCACACTGAGCCTCAGTTTCCCCTCTGCACCATAGGATGGTGGCACACCGGAGCTTCAGGGGGATGAAATGGCCAGTGTGGCCCTGCGGAGAGGGGCCCTGCTTGGCCTGACTCACCGGCACCTCTCTGAGTTCAGTTCCAGAAGCTTGTTCTGCAGGCCTGGGGGAGTGAGCAGAGGGGCAAGTAGGGGGCGGTCAGGCCCAGCTGCTGCTTTTCCTGCAGCCTCCCCACCACGGGGTCTGGGCAGAGCTGCAATGTGGCACTCTCGTCCCCTGCACCCCCTGGGGGAGCCCTGCCAGGTGGGCCCCTGTCTATGCCTAGGCCCAGGGCTGCCTGAGCCTTGGTGGTCTTGGCCCAGTATCTGTCGCTTCCCCTGGGGTCTCTGCCTCTGGCATCTGTCTGGGGGTGTCTGGGGGTGAGCAGGGACCCTGGTGCCGCAAGTGACCAGCCACCTGTGAAAGGCAGAGGGACCAGAGGGCCATTTTGTGTGTGTGTGTGTGTGTGTGTGTGTGTGTGTCATAGCTAGTGTTGAAATAAGATGAGCTTTTGGGGCACACCCCATCAGACCTCCTTGCCATATCTTGGGATCCAGCCTGGGCCTGGCTAACCCCAGCAGCCCCACCTCTCTGGGTTGCCTGGGAGACAGCCAGGTCCTTGGACCTCCAGGTGGGCACGGGTGCTCAGTGGAAGGACCAGGGGAAGGTGCTGGCTCTGGGACTGGACTGGGGGTGGTGGGGGGGCTTCGGCCCTGTCCCTGGTGGGGGAAGTGGACAGGGGTGGGGCCTGCGGTGTATCCTAGAAGGAAGAGAAGAGTTGCATCTCAGTGCCTTGACATGTTCTGCATGGGTCCAGAGAGCCATAAGCTCCTATTTCTGGAAGTGGCTGTCTCTGCTGTGGTGAGCTCAGCAGGCCAGCCAGAGTGGGCTCTTCTTTCTGCCACATGGCCAGCCCCATGGGCGAACAAAGCATGGGCAGCATGCAGCCTGCGGGTGGCAGGTGGCCATGAGGTGTTGGTGGCAACCCTTGAAAGTGCCCCTCCCCCTTGGGACCACACTCTGGGAGTGGCTCGAGGACATCCCAGCTTGAGGTCAGCACTTGCGGGGCCCAGGCAGGGCGTCTGTCCACTTTGTCGCTCTGGGTCAGGACTTGGGTCAGGACTTGGGTCAGGACTCCCCTGCCTGGGCTGAAAAGACAGGGTCCGTCCCCTGACTTGTTGGGAATTGGAGGTGATCATAGGTGCACCCTGGCCTGCCCCGGCCCTTAGGTGAGGGCTGTGGAGACCCCTCCCTAGCCCGGCATCTGTCCCTGGCCCCTCACCCAGGACTTCCTTCTCGTGGATCTCCTTCAGCCTGTTCAGTGACTCCATGAAGCTCTCCATGGCTCCCTGTGGCCCTGGCCCGGGCCCCTCTGCGCGGGGGTTGTGGAGATGCCTGCAGCCTCTACAGCCCCTCTGTGTCCATCCTGAAGAGGAGGAAGAGGGGACAGGATCTGCTCAGGAAGCGCTTGTGGGCTGTGGAGTCCAGGAGAGGATTGGGACTCCCTGTGTCTATGGGGAGCAGACCCCACGTCATGTGGTAGGGCCACTCATGGGAGGTGGGCTGGAGGCTCCAGAACCCCACGGGCAGGTGCAGAGATAGTACATTGTGTGGCTTCCTCCCACACATATGTGGACGGGAGCCAGAGGGCAGGGTGCTGGCGGCTGTGCGGGAGGGGATGGAGGGGCCAGGGGGCATCTAGGGGTGAGTGCCGGCCCCTCTGAGCCGCCCCGTTCTCCCCAGGTATCCAGCCCATCAGTGCCTGGCCTGTCCCCACATAAGCCCTGCCCCTGGACCTCAATGGAGGGACAGGGAAGCCTGGTGAGAGCTGGATGGTGCCAGTGGCACCTGCCCAGATGTGACGCTGGGAGTCAGACCTCACCGGCAAGAGCCCCTCAGACCTGACCATGCCGCTGTACAACTCCAGCCCCAACACTACGGTCACAGCGGCTCCTTCCCTTTCACCAGAGCCCTTGTACTCAGTTCCCTCCTGGGATCTCTGCCCGCCTCCAATGCTGTGGCAGCTTCAATGTTGTCACATAGGCACATACACACACATACACACACAGATAGCATGTACACACAACACACATGCACACACATGCAAAAGACACACAGAGCATGTACACACACAGCACACATGCACCGACAGACATGCACACACACAAAGCATGTATACACGCAACACACATGCACACACCTACAGACACACACATACAACACATATGTACACAGACAGAGATGCCCACACACAACACACAGAGATACACAGACATGGTTACGTGCTGACGCAAATCTGTGCAGACATAGAGACGCGGCTACACACGCAGTTGCAGGTACACAGAAACACACACAGCCACAGCAGCCCCCTCTACCCAGAAGCAGCTCCCACACGCAGAGGCTGGAGGGTTCCAGGAAGGGGTAGGAGCCACTACCTACTCCTGGCACCTCAGTGCCTTGACATGTTCTGGATGCAAGTGTGCATGTGTGTGCACGCCCGAATGAGTGTGCATGTGTGTGCCATGTGTGTGTATGATAGCCAGCGTGCATGTATGTGTACCGTGTGTGTGCACACCCGAACGAGTGTGCATGCGTGCATGCTATGTGTGTGCATGCCTGAGCCAGTGTGCATGTGTGTGTGTGCTGTGTGTTCACGCCCGACCTGGTGTGCATGTGTTTTTGCCCTGCGTGTGTGTGCTGTGTGTGTGCACGCCCAACCTACCATGGAACCACTGGTGCATCACCTGAACAACTGTGTCGGCCTCCTCCCTGCCTGGCCTCCCCCTCAAACTCCCCTGAACCCCCTGCCTCCCCGCATCTCCTCCAGAACCACTCTCCAGGGTGACCATCCCTGGGAAGCTCTGGTCTCTACTCAGATGCGCACTACTCTGCTCAAAATCCAACTTTGGGCTTGTGGCTGGAGGCCATACCCAAGGCCTCGCAACAGCCAGCCCAGCCCAAGTGGACCACAGAGGGGAGCAGCCATGGCTGCATCTGGGTTTTCAAAGGTCAGCCTGCAGACGCCCACATGAGGGTCCTCTCCGCAGCAGCATTCTACAGAACCGTCCCAAACGGGACCCCCAAACCCCATCCCATGATGGGTGGAATGGCGGCCACCCAGCCCCATGCCCACCCCAGTGTGGCGGCCACCCAGCCCCATGCCCATCCCAGTGTGGCGGCCACCCGGCCCCACGCCCATCCCAGCGTAGCCAAACCACCTGAGACAGACTTGAGGGTGCATTGAACACAGAAAGAGGCACTTGCCCTGGGGCCCTGGAAGTTGGGTGGTGGGTGTCTTTGGGGCTGAGGCTGGGGGTGCCTGTGACTCAGGGTGGCAGGCCTTGGGACCCCGAGACAAATCACGGGGCCTGGGGTGGGGATGGTGACTGGAGCCCCTTGGAAGGAGACTCTCCTAATTCCCGCCGAGCCCTTGCACCTGTGGTCAAGCGTGTTAGTGCTGAGCCTGGTGGGGCAGCAAGGGGTGTGGGACAGAGTGTGGCCCCTGTTTGGGGGTGGCCACAGCGTCCCCAGGGGCCCCTGACAGGGCTGGTGGGGCTGCATGGAGGGCGGAGCCTCAGGATGCTGGGCTCCAGAGACTCAGTCCACAGACCTGCCTGGGCTTTGGGACCTCCAGCCACCCTCGGAGGGAGTGGGGGTGACAGTTGGCGGCTCTGTGTTGGGTGGGTGAGGGATCCTGGGACCAGGAAGACTTGGAGCTTTCCTGGTGGGAGGCTGGGAGGGAGCCAGAGCTCTCTGGGAGGGATGTCTTTGCCGGTGAAGGGGGCCAACAGGACGTTGAGCTCCAGAGGTGGGGACAGCATGGAGCCTGCCGGAAGTACGTCACGTGGCCAGCATCAGTGGTTCTAACCCCCGTTTCCCGAACTCCATACACACTGAGACCTTCCCGACAGCCCATGGAATCTTGACCACACCACGAAGACCCCGCTCCAGATGGGGAAACTGAGGCTCAAACAGCTCAAACCTCCCGTCTCAGTCACCCAGTGGGAAGTGGGATCTGGGTTGTGCCTGGCTCCTGGGGCTGTGGGTCCTGCGTGCTCTGCCTGTGTGGACTGGGGCATCTTCCCCATGGCTCTGGTGCACCCAGCTGCACTGGCTTTTCCTGGCCAAGGGGCCCCCGGGAGGAAGATGTCAGAGCCAGGCCTCCCTAGGCTCAAGCAGCTGAGGAGGGCCAGGAGGGGGCTGAGCTGCAGCTCCTGAAATTCCACCTGGACCTGCCCAACAGGCCGCTCTTCCCTGGCCCCCAGCACCTGCCATGTGGGCTGGGCCGACGCCCATAAAGGAGCCGCCCAAGGGAGCCCATGGTACCTGTGGGCCTGGGAGAGGTCTGCACAGGAGAGGTGGGCTTCCTTCCCAGTGAAGTCACCGTGCTACAGAGGCCGGGACTGCGCCTCTGCTGTGCTTCCCACTCACAGGATCCTTTCTGTGCCCCAAACCACCTGCAGGCCCCGCCTGGCTGCCACCTCAAGGCCCCCAAAGGACTGCAGAAAGAGTCCCCATCCCACTGGGCAGGGAACGGCCCAGACACATGCCCGGAGCAGGGCTGGTGGGCGTCTGGAATCGCTGTAGGGTGCACCCTGCTGGGGACCCTTGTTTCCCAGAGGCCCAGAGTTGGGGTGGGCCTGGGCAAGGCCACTGGGCCCAGTGAGTGACAGTGCCTGGGGCTGGGGGAACTTCCCTCAGGGTGAGCAGGTGACAGAGATGCAAAGTGGCCAGGATCAGTCTCCCAGGCTCCGGCGCCTCTGGGACAGCTCCAGTCCCAGCTTCTACCCTCCTAGAGTGCTGGAGAACTCTGGGGAAGGGATGGGAGATGGAGGGAAGTTGCAAGCCCTGATGCTTTTGGGGAGAAGAAATGAACCGGGATTGTAGAAATTCACCCAGACCTGCGCCCGCAGCCTTGTGCCGGGGGTGAGCAGGGGAGTCAGTGGGGCTGACTTTTTCTTTCCGAGTCAGCCTTCTTGGGGTTTGTTGGGCTTGCCAAGGGCAGCTAGAGGTGCTGAGGCCGGGGGAACTCGGAGGGAGGGTCTCCTCCAGGCCTGGGTGAGGGCTGCAGTGGGACTGTGATGGGGGAGCAAGCCTGCCGAGGTGGGGAGGGGCTGGGTTGAGACTCTTGGGGGGCTTCACAGGGCTGGGGTGAGACAGCTGGGCTCTGGTCCAGGGTAACCCTCAGCCACTCCTCCCACTCCCAGCCCTCCCACTCTGGGAGTCCAGGCTGGAGGGTCTCTGCAGGTGCTGAGCCCCCTGGAAGGAGTGAGGGAAGGGGAGGGCAGGCTAGTGAGCCGCTGTCCCACCTGCGGCTCACAGCTGGGCCATGGGAGGGATAGGTGTGAGGGGTGCATGGCTGTCCCCCTCGACACCACCCTCACCGCACCATGCCTTGCCCTCTGCTCCATTTGCCACTGAGAGCATGATCCAGAGGTAGGGTCTTGCCCACGGTCAAAGCTGGTGAGAGCCGGGCTGGGCTTTGGCTAGCCTAGGTCCGCACCTCCGCCTTCTGCGGTGAGGTGCTACTGGTGCCAGCACCTTTGCCTTCCAGGGACTGCTCCTTAAAACCAAGAGGCGACGTGCTGCTCTCACCAGTATGGAACAGAGCCCATCCAATAAACTGGTGCCTCTTATCCCCCAGCCAGGACCCAGGAGAGCCCTCCATGGGGAGCCTAATTAGGCTGGCAGACCACCTTCCACCTCATGTCCTCACCCAGGGAGTGGACATGCACTGTGGGCCCTGCCTGTCCCTCAGGACTCCCACCTCTCTCTGAAGGCCCCCAGAGCCCCCACCTGCCCTCCTAGGGTCTCCACCCACCCTCCTAGGGCCATCTGGAGTGGCCACTCAGAGCGGGCAGAGGTTTGCTGTTGTTAATCCAGCCTCACAGGTTCTCAGAGCCCCAGCACAGAGGGTACACCCCCCACCGCCCGCTGAGCTGGCTGGGGTGGGGCAGGGGTCGCATTCCTGAAGGGTGCTGGCTGGAGAGTCAGTCTGGGCAGAGGGTAAAGGTGTGGGCTTCCCAGTCGACGGCCCTGGTGGGGCTCTCGGACCTGTCTCTGGTCTCTATGCCACCTTGGGCAAGTTGCTTTTCCTCTCTGAGCCTGTCTCCTCACCTGGGAGTGAAGGCATCCCACCCCTGTATCGGGCTGCTTAGAAGCTCCTTACAGGTGGTGCCTGTGCGCCCAGGAGCTCCGTAGACGGGGGTGCTCAGTGAGCAGCAGAGGGAGACCCCGAGTTCACCTGTGCCTCCCTCATGTGGGACCCCGGGTGTCCAGCAGTGCTAACAGCAGGACACTCTGCGCTTGGACAAGGTCAAATCCCATTGCCACAAAGGCCTTGTGCAGGGGGACGCAGCCCTCCCCACATGCAGGGCGGAGGTCCGGCTGCTGACAGTGACGACACGCATCCTCGGACGGCTGCTCACTATGGACTCCACTGGGCTCACGGCATCCCTGTGGCTGCGCCCAGGAGAGATGCCACCTGCCTCCCACACACAGGCCAGGGAATCACAGGCCCAGCCGTGGCCCCGGCAGGACTGGGCATTGTCCGGCCAAGTGGCAAAACCCGAAGTGATGCCTGTTCTTGCCCTGTCCTTTGGGAGGCCGGGCCCCTGAGCATCTCTGCGTCTGAGCAGGCGGCATCCAGGGCATCACCGGGCTCCCCGCCTCTCCCAGGGCACTCAACCACAGAAGCTGCCTGGGCACCAGTGCTCCAAAGATACCTGCCGGGTCGGCTGCTCTTCACCCCAGCCACTGCCCCCCAGCAGGCCCTTCGGGGCAGGAGTGCGGAGCTGGACACTGGTACCCTCTGTCTCTGAGGCCTAGGCTGTCTGTGTGTCCATCTGACTGACTGCCCACCTATCCAGGAGCAATGGTGACGGGTGCAGCAGTAGCAGTGGCAGTGGCAGTGGCAGTGGCAGTGGCAGTGGCTGCTGTTGATCACATGCTGCTCTGTGCCAAGCACCACGCCCAGGCTTTTTCCCACTTGCATGGGCACTGAAACCATCCTGCAGTTTTGCTGAGGCAGCCAAGCTCAGAGCGGTGCCCTCTGCACCTTGACCCACTTCTCCCCAAGGGATTCCCCTGCCCCCGTCCACCTCCTGGCTGCCCCCCATGGAGCACCCACTGCATTAGCTAGGCTGGGCACACGCATGTGGTCGGGGCCCACCTGGCCTCAGAGGAAGTACTGATTGTCTCACTCTACAAGTTTGGACACTGAGGCTTGAAGCAGATCAGAGATGAGCAGGTGGAGCAAGATTTGGACTGGATTGGCCTGAGTCTGGA